ACACAGTTTGTTCAGTAGTGTGTTCTCGATAAGTAGAAAAGTAATTCTGGTTTATTTAAGAATCCCGTGAAAGTAGGGACATTTTTTGCTAAATTTGTTTATTGTCTTCACCATGTGGACCTCATTTTTAGAGAGACTGCATGAAATTTTCCGTGGACGCTATTACAATTTATCTTCCTGACATACAGAATAATTTAGGAAGAAGTTCTTATGTGACATATACATGTACTAGATTACATTTAAAAGGTCCTTTCCAACTCAAACTGCTCCATGATTCTGTGTAGAAGAGAGGAGGAAACAAGACCAAGAATGGACAGTCAAATATCAAACATTTCTTGTTACTTTGTGTATGTCCTATAAGAGCAGATAAACATAGGTAAAATAAAAATAATGTGTACAAATAGCGTCTGTTCAAGTAAAGAATGTAGAAAGATTACATTAATTAATATATATAATCAGAAAAACTTCCAAAACAAGCAAACAAAAAAAAAATAAAATCCCCAAGTAAAAAAAAAAGAAACCTCAAGGAAAACTGCAATGGGAAAAGATTAGATAAAATAATTTAGGATTGTATTTTGGGTAGATAAAGRCACTGGAATGAAGTATCAAATAATCAAATTAATAACAATCATCCAAAAGCAACTTGAACTCACAATGTGTTGGGAAAGTCATGTCTTTTCTCAGGTTTTGAGGAAATGGCAAAATAAAAGTAGGATATGGCATAAGGGTGTGCTATTTGCTTGTAAGATGTGTTTAAAGAGGTTGCTCATACTAAATTTACTGTGTTTGATGCTTTTGTATTATTTGGGTGAATGCAGGGCTACTAGACATTTTAGAAGGCTATTCTTGTTTTTTTAGCAATGTAAACAAACAATGAAACTGCAATGAGAAGTAGCCTTGGTATCTGACAGCAGTGGTTTTGTGCACACTTAAGGAGAGAAGTCTTGTAACATGGGAGCAAGTCAAAGGGATTATTGCTTACTGGAGGTCAGTATCTGGCAAGATACTTACTGTAGGGTTATTTTGGGTAATTAGGCAGTAAAAGAGAGGAAAGTGCTCAAACACAGTRCAACTGTGGCTGAAGAATAATTACACAAGCATTTTCAGCTTCAGATTCAGGCTTTTGAAGGATGTTCAGTATCCTCCAGTTCTGGTTTCTTAACAAATTGCCACACACATGAGACTGCTTGAAAAGCACATATCCCTGAACCTCTGTTTCTCTGTTTCTCATATTACTCACAGYTTCTGCCCACTTACTCTCTCATACCTTATCAATCTTGCTGTATTTCAAAAAGGTGAAACACTGCTGTTCYTGTGCCTTGCTTGAAAGGACTGGCTTAAGGTGGCCAATCATCTCAGTCACGTCGGGTGGTGTTTATACATGGACTTCATTGCTTCAGAGTATAGAGCTGCCTTTTTATGCCTGTTACAGTAAGGACAGATACTAAAATTTTGTACTGTCCACGAYAGACAAAAATTTATACTGTTTTTAAATGACTGCTGTAACTAGGCAGCAGGAGACAGGTTGGAATACAGACATAACAGATCTGAGAGCTGTAGATTCAAGATGGAATCTTGAAATAGAAGTTACTGCTGCATTGTAACACTTAAAATTTTGCTTGATGCCTATCTTTATTCTTCTTGAAGGGTGTTTCCCTTAAGTGGTGTCTCTGGTGCTAAATGTGCAAATAGTACTATTTTTACTAGACTCTTCAATGCTGCATTCTGCATTCAAAGACCCATTATTGGTATCCAAAACTTGATACATACTTTTAAGATATGTACGTAACAAAAGAAGAAGGGATTGAAACCATTGTATGCTAAATGGAACATGAAAAGTGTCAATAAATGCTTTCTTTGAATTATTTTTCAGTTTTAGTAAGAATCCTTGGGTTTTCTGAATACTTTAGAACCATTTTCAGCACAACTACTTAATAATCCCTCTTCTTTCCCATTGCRATATATAAAAAGTGTCTTAAGAGTAAATGTAGATCAAGGGGGAATAGAAGAAGAAAACAAGGATAGGACGGGAAGGACTGGCTGCAGTTTTATGGGTTTTTCCCTAGTTCACAATAGCACGTCATAATTTCATTTCATTGTTCTTTCATTAAATATTTCTTCACATTTACTAGGATATTTCTGTAGTGTAACCTTTTGCCATTTAATTTTTTCAATTAAAAACCACTGCCTTATACTAAACTACGTGCCTGGTCTTTGTCTTTCATGTATGCRTTTGAAAGTAAGTAAAGTGCATTTCTTTTGAACTTGCTGTGAATGTTTTCTTGACAAAGTGGAAGTGCATAGAGTTTAATAAAGTAGTAAAAATGATGCATTAAGTAATTAAATTGGTATTTTTTATCTTAGTGTCCGTGTAACTATTCTGCTGCACGTCCACCCCTTCCCCCCAAGTTTATGAAAACAGGAATGTATACAGATAATTCAGTGTAGACAAACTTAATTTGTCAGATGACCAATAAGTATTTGGTCAAGTTTAAATGAAACTTTTCCACTTTGATCAGTAGAAATTTTATAACATGCATTGTAAAGGTATATTGTGTTTAATGTATTTAAATATTTAGTAAAGTCTAACTGCTTTCCTGATTGATGTCATTCTTTCTGTCAATATCCTTCTGACATATATACAGCAGACATTGTATGCTATAGCATACAGTGAAGGATTTTTGTTTCCTTTATTATTCTATTCTTTTGATCATAGGATTTATTGATTTGTAAACAGTGTGACATTCAATAATATAAACAGAGAAAACGTGCTAATGTCAGTAGAAGAACAAGAGTCAAAGACTCAGAGCTGAATCAAGTTGTCTTAATTTTCATCTTGCCTTGTGAGATTGTCTTAGACATGTGATAAGCATGATAATTCGTGTGAACACACCAGCGCTGTACAACAACAATGTCAACAAGGCATTTCATGTATAAGCGASGAGTATGGACACTAGTTTGTTAGGGAAGGTGCTTGAGGAACAGAAAATATAGAAAGCTCTTGAAAATAAGTTTTCATTATGAGAACAGTTATTTAGGAGGCAGGTATTGAAAGATAATTGAAAATGTACTGGCCATGAGAGGAATGAATTAAGAAGGGTAATACAGGAAGTCACGTTCAAAAGAAAGGAAAATAGTGTAGAATGTTGGCACTATTGGAATATTGACTGAAGTTTTCATTGTTTTAATGGTGATGCTTATAGAAAGGTAGAATATTTTCATCTCAGTTTGCAAATCTTACTTGTACATAGACCCCTGTCATCCATTATATGACTCAGAGTAACAAACACCAGGTTTGACCGTTAACAAACATGGAGATACCTAAAACACAAAGTATTTCTGGTTTATTTTAAATTTTTTTAAAGAAGTAACTGTGGTTGGAAGCTGGGTGCTGGGCTTTGTAAAGCATTCACCAGTTCAGCAGAGCCAGTTGTGTTTCAGCCCAACTGGGTATCATTTAACCTTTGCTCCAGAGAGCTTACTCCGGGAAATTTTTCAGGAGTAACTCACAATGACTGGAATTAGCTCCTGCAGTTCTTGCAGTAACCTTTTTTACAGTAACCTTTTCTACTTTGAGTTAAAAAGAACACCTTTGAACAAGTTATTTAGGTAGAAGACGTGCACTTTGAATGTATATGGTGGTATTTTGATGTTGTTCTTTTGGGTAGGGCAATGTTGGTCAGTGTATCTAAAATTTTGTGCTTCCAGAATTAATAGCCTTTTGTGCATTTATATGCAATTAGCAATACTTCTAGCATTACATGTGATTCTTTGCAAAGACAAGCAATTTTATGACTTTCAGTGTGTTTACAACATTTGGCTTTTTTCCCAAAGGTATTAAAAGTCTTGTGTGTTTGAACAGATGTGTAAACCAAAGTATTACTGCCTCTTATACTTTGGTCTTGTTTAATAAGAGGTAGATGGATGCACATTTATGGGGATTTAAAATAACTTTAAATAGAACAGGCATTGACATAGTTAGTCTTGTAGTCTATTCAAGTTGTACTTTCTTGAATTAAATTATGCAGCCCAGATTTCCTAACAGTGCTCTTATCATGTACGCTTATCATAGTGAGATCTGAATACTATTTATAGAGTAAATTACAATGGTGAAGTAAAATTTTAATCTTTGGAGCTGTACGTTTGTCTTGAAGTGCGAATTTATGCTTGTAGATTCCATAATATTAACATCTCTCTCTGTATGCTAATTTGAGGTTACTTACCAAAGTAATGGGGTGAAAACACATATGAGATCCTAAAGCTCAAAAACTTTATGAACAACCCATGAAAATAAAGGAAATGGACATGGATGAAATAAAAACATTTGGACGAAATGGTGTAGACCTGAAACCAAATTTTCAGATCTGAAACCAAACAGCAAATGACAAGGTGTGAATACCATTTGTGATTTCACCTCTAAAGTAATGTTAGTAGGGAAACTGAGGACATCACTATGCAGCTGTTTTCTTCTGTGATCTTACTTGAAAAAAGAAAACAAACAACAAAACAAAAACAGGACCAAAAACCCAACCAGAAAAAAAAAAAATTAAATTAAAAAAAGGCTAAAAACCCCTCCAAACCACCACCAAAAAAAAAACCCAACAAAAGACTTTGTTGCTTTTTTTTGTGGGCGTTTTTCTTCTGATTTTCCATGCTCTTCAAGCACCTTCTTGAATTTTCTTAATTCCTTTCACTGGTCTTTTGGCAAAGGGAAATTTTGATGAGAATTTGTGAGAGTTCAGAAAAATAACTTGGGTGTAAATAGGATAATATTTTTGCGCAAGATGTCAGAGAACCAACACTTCCCTTCAGTGTCCCTGGAAGTTCGTGACTGGGTAGGGAGTCTACATTTCAGGTCTGAATCCCAATCCTAGCATTCAATACAATGCAATTCAATGCAATGAGTGCTAGCTGTGAGTAACAGAATTAGGTGCAACAGAACACATTGTTACATTAGAGACACAGGCTGTTCTAATGATTTCAATTTCTTATTTTACTAGAAAAATGATGAAAGCCCAGAAGACAATACTTCAGCGAAGGAAGTTATTAAGGAAAGGCAAGAAATGTTGATGAACAGTAAGCAACATCATCTCTATGTTATGTATCCTGTGACCCAGAGAAACAAARAAATGCACAGAGTAGGTTCAACCACCTTCTTGATTGGAAAGACACCCAAAGAAATACGCAGGTGAGACTGTCTTGGATGGTTTTGTTGGAAGTAAAACTCTTAAGGTTAAAACAAGCTTCCCTTTGGGTAGTTGCATTTGACTTTGGTCAGCCCTGCTTAGGAAATACTATTACTTTCTATGGCAAGAGTGGAACTAGTGGGAAACTTCAACTCATACTACACTATGAGTACTGTAATTRATTAATAAAATGAATTTAACCCACAAATTACCTGAACTCATTGATTTCATGGTCATATATTACAGAACTGTGTAGATGTCATCACCATGAGTGTTTGTGGTATATGCATCATGGACTACTACAGAATAGCGTTTAAACTGTTTGGTAACTAGACATTTTAAAATGTTATCTTCTGGCTGCCTACTAATTTTGCCCAGATCTCATCACTTACATTGAAGGATTGTTGGAAAAATTTGGCTTCATGTTTCTTTTTTGGTGTGGGGCTCAATATCTTCTGATAGCTCTGTTAAGGCTTCCCCCCTCCCCTCATTTTTTGAGGGATAATATTTTTTTTGTTTCCTTGTTTCTCCTTTTTTCCCAAATTATTGCTATTAATACTATGAATATTAAATTATATTTTTATATAGATAGAAGTTCAATAAAAATAACCAGGTGTTTCGTGGAAATATTAAGTGGAAAGCTGTAGCTAGCTRGGTAAACCTATAGAATTGATTATTTGGTATGTATTTTTAATTTGCCTTGAGACAATTAAATTACTGTATGAAGGCTGGTATCTAGGTAATGCCTATAAGCATTCAGAACCTGGCATATCAGATAGCTTTCCTCAGCTATCCCAACTGTTACTGTTGAAGTTCCGGGTTTACTGTTACAGTCACTGACATTTATAAATATTTATGAAGCAGGTAAAGAGAGCCTTCATTCTAAAAATATTCAAAATTGTAATCATAGTTATCAATAATTTCTTGAGGTAAAATTTTCAAAGGCAGTGAAGTGACTAAGACTGTCCAAGATCCTAAAGCTGCATAAGCTTTAACCGTTCACTCTTAATCATTAAGGAGGTTATCTGTTAGCACCTGGCACACAGTTAGACTTTGTAGCATATCTGGATATGCCATGAATGAGGATTACTTGCCTCAGTTTGTTGTAATTGTAGGGCAGAGTGGGAAGCTGTCTGCAGTCACCACAGTCAGATAATTGCAGCTCACCTGTCAAGTGGTATTTGAGGCCAACAGGGTCAAATATTACTGCCTTTCGGAGMCCTCACAGAGGAAAGGTGACATGTTTCATATTCTTTCTCTGACATAGGAGTGTAAACCCACCTCTCCAGCCATCTAGTAAGTTTTTCTGACCCCAGATCAGGATTAACACAACTAGAGTGATCTCTTTTAATTAGAGCTTGGGTTTAAGGAGAAACAAGTATTCCATAACTCACTGGGTAGGATGATGCAGACTATGCTTGTCTCCTGTGCATGTATTTATCCAATTTCTTTTTAGCAAGTGTTCTTTAAAAGGACTTGGAGCAACTATTTCCTTCCCATTTCTCCCCCTACCATGCAAAAAAGGAAACGCAAACTTTCTACTATCCGTCCATCTACAACTTTTTGGTAGCTAAATACCTTCTGGAACCTGGCCCTTCAGTATGGTATCTTACCTACATTGACAGTCAGTAAGTCTTTGAATAGTAAGCTAAGGAAATGAAAATGTAGCTTGGGATTCAAAAGTAACTTCAGTTTTCTAAAGTCATTATTCTTTCTTCTCTGCTACTAAACACTACTCCTAATAGGGAAGTTAGTTTTCTTGGTTACTTTCTGGGTAATGTGAAATAGGTAAATTGAATTAATTTCTTGAAATRTGCCTTTGTTTCTAGTTAAGAGTGCCAGTGTAATGCATTTTTCCTTCTTGGTAATTACAGGAGACAGTTTGAGGAAATGGTATCCCACTTTAAAATGGGATCAGTGAAAGACCTTGCAGAACATATTGCAAAAGCTACATCAGAAACCAGACAGAAGATGTTGAAGGAATTCTATGTTTCTAAGCATCCAGAGATAGAATCTTTCTTCTCAGTTGAAATACCAGCACAAGCTTCACGTGACTGTGAGGAAAGAGAAATAGGTACAACACACTCCAGAAAAAGAAAATCCATTGTTAATTTTGGAATGTCCAAGTCTAGACCTTCATCAGCTAAAGGACTACTTCTGAGTGGAACTGCAGAAACACAGACCCAGAAGAACCATAAAGGAGAAGCAGAGAGGCTTCACAATAACTCCTACTTGCAAGATACGTTTGTTGATGCAAGATATAAACAATCACCTACTGCTGCTACTCAACATATCAAAAGAACAAACTGTCAGACATTCAAAGATGTTATGGCATCTGGCTCATTAAGCAGTAAATCAGAAATAATTGAGGTGCTGCCTGTAAAAAGTTGTGAGGGACAGCAAGACTTAAAAGGAACACAGCTGTCAAAAAAAAGATCCCTGTCTCAGTCAGAAAATGGAGAGAGAAAAGGTCAGATTTACAAGAAAAATTCTTTTGTGGACTTACTTGGAGATACCTCTATTCTTGATGATATCTTCAGAAATGATGGAAATCGGTCTACAGATTTACCAAGGAGATTCTCTTCAGGACAAGCAGAAAAATCAAAGGGGAGATCAAAGGGGAGACCAAAAGATTTCTGGGATATGCTGAATGAGCAGAATGAGGAGAGCCTAAGAAAGCTCACAGACATAGCAGTCATAGAGCAACTTTGTGAAAAAGCCCCTCATTCCACAGKGACAGAAGAGAAAGAAGTGTGTGAAAGTTCTCTTTGGAAAAAAAATGAAAATTTTCTATGGAAAAAATACAGTGCAGATGATTGAGATGAGCCATCCACTACTAGATCTTGTAATGTAGTAAAATGAAAGTTTTCTATATGAGTTGCACTAGAACTATTTTATTTGAACATTGACAGCATTATGCTATATAATGTGATAATTTCATKAAATGAAAGGCAAAATGATGAATTCATATTTATAATGTTACAGAATTACATTTTACAAGTGTGTATATATATGCAATTACATATGCAGTGTATAGCATATATGTGCATAGTAGTGCATATATATACTGTATGTTGTAACCTATGATATATAATGATTTTAGAAAACTTTTATAACTTTTTAGATTAAACTTTTTTTAAAATTTTCAGAGTGCATTTTGCTTTCTTTAATTCTTGTTTGTTCTATTCCTAGGCTCAATAGCAATACTAAGGTTTTTTTTTTCCCTTTCTTTAAATTTGGACATTGCCATKCATCTCAACACAATTTAAAGATAACAGGATTTGACAGTGATACTGCATATAATTTCTGAGGTGCCAGAGGCTGGAGGACTTTCTGAGATGGGGGTGATGTATTCGTGTCGAATAGCTTTTAATGGATTCCCATCCTCCATGAATTTGCTCAAATTTCTTCTTATTACCCTTTCATCTCCCTTTTATAGATATATTTTTATAGACCTCTGTCATGTCTTTGTCAGGGAATATGAAGTACAATATATATGTTGGGAATATGCAGTACACTGCATATGTAGTAAGGAATTTCAGTGTCTTGGCAGGTTGGCATCTTACTTATGGAATGCTGGGTGTAGTAAAACTTCCAAATGGAAACTATTCTTCACAGACTGAAAGGGTGGTTATAAGATATGCAATGTTGTATCTCCTTTGCCAGGTAGTCTGTCACATTTTTCAATGCTATGGGATATGTGAAGAGTACCTTGAAAAATGTAACCAGAAGAGGCCAGAGCCTCTTGTTGGTCTGGAAACATTAACCCTAATCTTTGATTTTTGTAAACATTGATAAAAGGGTTTACATTGAGTATACGGTATAAATTCTTTTACATGAAGGGTAAATGCTATGAAATTTTAAAACTTTGGACACTGAACCTGCACAGCAGCAATCTGTGAGTGATTGTAGTTTTTGTGGTCTGGAAGACTGCCCACTGAAAGTAAGTTTGAATTTGATCCTGGAGCAGCTTCTGGTTTAGGTCATGGGAAGCTGTTGTAGGCTACACCCTCTCTCTGTGTTAAACTTTGGGTGCATATTAGAAGTGGAAACCATCTGAAATCCTAATTGTGAAATCTGATTTAACAACTTGGAACGAGGAGCCGAGTATTTAACATAAATGTWAAGTAATAAAAGCCTTGGGCTTTGCTGGTAGCTAATGTAAGTCAGATTAATCTGTTCCCTAACTTTTTCTTACCCTGAATCTAGGCTGTTACCACTTTAATATACCAAATTGTATAATGGTCAGTTGGAACAGCTTTTAATGAAAATAAAAGTGAAAAAGTATGAACTAAGTAAATTTTAAAAAGCTCCTAACTGTTAGTTAGTGGTACACTTGAATTATGTATACCTAATGGAAGTCAGTTTAAGTCAGGAAATATCTACACCCTTCTTGATGTTAATAAATATGACATAAATTTAAAAGGTTTGTTCATGGCATCAGTATTGATTTTCTTTACAGGTAAGCATTCTTATGCTTAGAGAGGCAAAATCCTCTTAGGTAAGAAAGAAAAGATTTGGTCAAATAAAAAATATGGTCATCAAATATGTGAAAAAATCACATATTTGTGAGATAATGACCCCTTTGTGTCTACAGCAAAAAGAGGAGTTAAGTGGCTTTAACTTAAGTTAGATAATAGAGAAAGAAACTATAGGGAGTTAGTAGGTTGTGCCRGTATCGAACATAATCAAGAGTAGGAGAGAAAAGTATCTGTGAGAAGTTGTCCTTTTTTTAGGTCAGAAGTGGGGACTGATAACTTTCATCTGAGGGCCAGGTGATGCCACTGTACTGAAGAGAGGCTTCACCATATTAGTCAATCRTCGTCTGAATCAGTAAATACTGCAAAATCTGATTGCAGTAGGTAAGATTTCTATTGATTCCCAAGTACAAAGCTGTCATAAGTTTCCTGAAGTAATCAGGAAATTATGTTTCTCTTATAAGGTGACGGTGTGCATGAATCAAAACTTCCATAGATATGCATGTTTTATTCACGTGTATGCCAAATACTGGTAGTATATTTGTGGAAATCTCTTTGTTATATGCAATTGAATTGARTTATGGGAAGATGTCTTGAAGTAAGATTTATGTCACTCTAGCTTCCTGTTCAAGTCTTTTAAAAGGAAATATCACCTAAGCCATAAATACTGCAACTTGGCAGCCTAGGGATCTGTCTATAAAATATTTTTGGTGGTGAAGAAGTCTGTATGATTTTAAAGAAATAATCTGAACAAATTAAAGAAAGGAGAATTTTACCTGATTTTGAAAACATAGTCTTTAAATATTAAAACTGAAGATATCAATTCTGTCTTCTTAAAAATCTCTTAGCTTAGAGATTTTTTTTTAGCTTTAAAAGCAAAAATGATAATGTGGAGTTCAKACTTCCATGTACAGTTTCCTGCACAGATGCAGGGAGGCAAGGATTACAGGAAAACTCTTCACAGCCTCCTGGCATAAGGAAATAGTTCTGTGTAGTTGTCACCTGATCTGAATATAAATCATTAAGGAGCAGAAGGGTGTCATTGCTTTCACGTGGAAATGGCTTGGCAGCTTTTTACTGTTCCTTATGGCAATCCCCTTGTTGTTTCACTCAGTGGAGTTCTATGGGCCTGGCTGTGGGTCCCTGACTTCGTGGTACCAGTACTTCCTGTTGCTTTCAATGGAAATTATTAGACTGGAAAAAAATAGGTTGCCAGTGAAAGAGTAAGAAAATTGATCCTGTCTATGCTAAGAAATGCAACTATCTTAACAATCAGCTTACRAGACCTGGTTAAAGACACCGCGTGTTCGGGAGTCTGATTTGCAGTATAATTTGTATCTTAAGTGTTTTTCAGACTAAGRCTGTACTTAGAACTGCATTTGGCAGTAGCTGTGTGATACACAGATTTCATATTTGACCTGGGGCAGCGAGACTGAATAATTTCCGGTAATGACTATGTTTGAGAAGGAGTGTGGTTGCAAACATTCATCAACACATTAAGGCAGTKTGAAAGGATGTATTTGCTTAGCTGTAGCAGGTCATGACTTTGAGCACTGGAAGGCAGTGATGCCAGTTCCATGGCTTGAGCACAGAGTAAAACCAGCATTAGGAAAAGGAAGGGGTGGTCGGTAATAGCATAATCAAAGTATCACAGGATAATTCAAAGATGGTAATACAGTTACTGTGTAAGAAAAAGATGATGGAAGTTACTTCCTCAGAAAACTCACCTGTAGAAAGAGGAGAGGATTTTAGTCTACCAAAGGAAGCATTTAACTGCCTTTGCTGCTACGTATTTTTCCATTCCTGCAGTGCCCTGCATATCGTATTCACTGCATACCTTCCAGCTTATGCAACAAATGAGGTAATACAGTTACAAAAACTCTCTCCCCATGTTTGCGTATTCCCTGATTCACTACATCTTGACTTGATCCATTCTATAGAAAAAGAGTAATGATCACTTAAATAGATGTCCTGCCAGAATCTATCTTCTTGATAAGGGTACCAGAAAAGTAGATAATTGGCTAGGGATAACTTAAGGAGATGAAATTTCTGCTGTTGAAGCTGGGTGTCTGGATTGCAGGTGAGAGAGGTAGGCAGTGATTCAGAGCATTTAAGAGGCATGCCTCTTGTTCTGTAAATGCGTGGATCATAGCAATGTCCTTGTGAGTCTATATCTTGTGTGTGATTCTGCAGGCTAATTCTGAAAGAGGAAGAAAGTACATTTAAATGGATGATTGGAGGGCTTAAGAGCTGTTTGCTTGGTATCCTAACCTTTGTTTCACTGGCATCTGAAAAGCTGAATTTCCTTATCAAAGACCCAGAGAAGATTGTGCTCTAAAACAAAAGATGTAATTGAAGCATGATGTGCTTGCATAGTGCATATGCATAATACTTGAGGACAGGCTGTCTCAATTGTTCTGTGATTTTGCCTGAGCTGAGACAATGGAATTGAGTGGTCAGAACCTGACCTATTGTCTGTGTCAACACACAGTATGRCTGAATTGAGATTGCACACATAGCTTGCACAAGCTGGAGCATGAACAGGCCCACTCTGCACTAAAGCCTTGTTTTTTGAAAATGCACAGAGGCGGCATAATTACATTACAATTTGCATTGGTCTGTTGTAGCATGTTACAATGGCTGCATGTTGTTTGTATATTTGATAGCAACATTCTCAGTCCCTAACACTGCAGCCAGTAAAGACAATGACAAATTAGTGGGGATRGCTGGATGCTAAACAAATACCAGCTAAACTCAGAATGAAGCTATTTTTTTTCTTCAGCAGAACTKTTTATACTAGAGGGATTTTATTTCCTTTTTGCTTGATATTCAGTTGTTTCCATTAAATTGCTCATGGCAACATGATCTCCCATATCATCCTGAAAATCATTCTATGCTAGTTACTTAAAAAACAAATACCAGATGTCTGTTTATGTTGTTTGAGGTAAGTGCTCACAGCTACAGCCAGCACTTCCCTCTCCTTGATTSAGACTATGATGGAACTTCTGTCACAGTTTCTTCTTGTTCTGGTTTATAATTCTATGGYAAGGAAAATGTTCATACTGTGGTGTAATTTGGAATGTAATTTAAATACCTCTAAGTAAGCTGTTTTCCTAAAACACCTCCTTTGTACTTTGGTCTCTTCACTTCCACAGTAGACACAGAGRATAGCTTGGTTGGTTCCTCTGTATGTTCTTATTGTAATAGCGTAACTAGAGGAATTTGTGCTCTTCTTGCCTCTTTTTCTGCCCCCACTGTTTTGTAGTTGTGGTTATATTGCTATAATTACAGTATGCTAATTCTAATTTTAAGAGTCTTATACTTGGAGGGAATATTGAGGAATCTCTTCTCATTAGCCAAATRTTGAGGTTCTGTTCTGTTCTG